ACAGTTGATTTTCTTGTTTCACGGAAGCTGTGGAGGAGGGGGGGGGACGTATTTCCTCGCTGTTGTTCACCTTCTGAGAGAAATTTGGAGAATTTTCTTCCAGTTGTTCACTTTTCGCGGTTTGTCACGTGTGCCTATACCCCCTCTCCACCGTGCGGGAAATTCCGGAAAAACTGGTAAGAAGCTGGGGAAATCTAAGAGAGTGTTAGGTAGGATGGGGAATGGGGGTACTCCCCTTGCCCTCGACAGCTCACTCGTATCAGAGGTGTGACCAGGGGGTCGTACCAAGCCACCCCTTGGGGGGGGGGTGAGTCGTACGGACTCGACCAAAATCCCTAACTAATGATGTGCCCTGACAACTATACTCTAGCCATAAGTACAATATCTGTAGTTCGAAACAAGCTTTTGAATAAAGAGATTTTTTTCTTTGGATTGATTTTGTACAGCGTTATATTAGAAGTTCTTTATTATCACTTAATAATATAAATTACACTCCGATAAAACGAAGAACTTGCTCTCTATGAATCTATCGCACTAGAAAATCTTTGAAGGGCAAGGATTAATTCAATTACGAACAAACCAATAACCAGTCGATCAGTACAAATAAAAACATTAACGAAGGAACTGGGCAATACCTATGGGACTTCCTTTTCAACTGAAAAATCTCATCTGGCGAGTAAGTAACATATAAAACAGCAGCAAAGAAAAATATTACATTGAACTGGTAATGGCGATGTCTTAGAAAAAGAAATCGACATTGATCAATCGACTTCTGGCATCGATCGATATAGAAAATTGGGAACGGAACGAAAACGAGGCAAAAAAATAACGGAAGTGATGTCTATGTGAACGTGGGAGAGCGAATGTGGGAACCAGAACGTCACTTGGGACGGTACCTGGCACTAAGGGCTGCTCAGGAAGGATTCCAACTGCTTGCGGATTTTCATTTAGGGGTCAGTTCTAGGACGTTCCTCAACGGTCGCTCTCCCAAGTGGGGAAGACATGAGCCCACACTAAACTTTTCACTATACTACTGGTATTGCCAAAAAGAATAGACCAAGGAAGACGCGCTGAGAAATTCACTCCCAAACAATAAATAAATATGCGCACAAAATCAATCATTGCAATGTCACACAAAATTGGAAGACATGAATTGAAATTTCCCCGGCTGGAACGCAAATAGAGAGGAAATGGATGAGTGATCACGATCAGCAGCAGTACTATGAGAGCTGATCATGACTGCAGCACACAAAATTGTACGAGAAGTTACAACAGCACGACATGGGAACGAGTAAGATAACTACCGGGGAGAAACACATCAATTGGTGAGCTGGATGTCGAATATGAGGGGGCGGACTCTAAGTGATCCACTACTTATGCTTAGACGCAGGCGTCGAACAAGTTGTCGACGGCGTTGGCGTCAGAAATAGATCCGGTCGCCTTTGGTGCTCAATGACTCCAGGGCCACCCAAAGGCGGTTGCCATACCTCGTAGCCAAGCTTTATCAATTCGCCGCTGATCATATCCAGTAACGTTTGCGGTGTATCTGAAACCACTTTCATAAATAAAAGCGAGGGTAAATGTAAATAATAAACCAAAAGTGATAAACAATTCGACACTATTCAACTATTACAGCCCCAAACTTACGAAAAAAGGGCCAGAATTTTGACCAACTTTTTATAAGGGGGCAGATTCTGCTAACATTTCCGTTCTAGGGGTTGTTCGACCTCCTGAACACGTATACCGTATCCGCCACAGGCGCAGGCGCCAATAGCCCTGATCCAACGAGTTCGCTGAAAACTTGTCTCCAGGGGTAGTTCAACCTCCTGGACATTAATATCCATCCGCTTGACCAGAAACAGCATGGCGCCCGCGCCACAGACGCCCGGCGCCAAAATACCCTAGGTCAGTAAAGTGGCTGAAAACTCGAATACGGGGGTTATTTGACATTCTGGTTACAAGTATGACATTAAAGGCATATAGCACGATAATTTGGTATTCGGTCTGAAATGCTGGCAGGGTGCTTTGGGGAACTGGCAAATAACGAATTGAAACGATCAAAAACCTACGAAGAAAGGAAAGGACTTCGTTCTTA